AGACTGTTATAACAAATGAAAACATAAATGGTAATCCTGAGGGCAACCACTAAGAAAATAACTGAAGAACACACAAAAGAATGGAAATCAAAACAGCCCATGAGAAAATAGTTAACAATAATGGAAAAATTGAGAAACAAAAATGAAAAAAAGGACGAGGCTCAATTAAAAGGCAGATTTTGGCAGAATGCATGTAAAAATAATCCAGTGACATGCTATGTATTACAGGAAACTCATTTTACAGTGAAGACACAAACATGCTGACGATGAGAGGAGAGAAAAGGAAGCACAGAGGCACTGCAGACAAAAGCCGAGAAGAGAGGGCAGCCTCTGCTGAGGTCAGGCCAAATGCTGCGCTGGAGAGAAGACTGCTGCAAGATACGAGTAAAGATGTCATACGCATCATCGATATAAACGTAAAGCGCCAATTCACAAAGAAAATTCAGTAAATATAAACAATACATACCTGATAGAACTTCAAAATAAAAAAATGACAGAATCGAAAGGAGAAAGAGTTCTATTCCTAGTGGTTTGAGACTTCAATACCTCATTTTCAATAACAAATAAAATAACTCATATTGGTTAATAAGGAAACAGAGGACTTAAGAAACACTTCAAGCTAACGGGACCTAAAAGGCACAAAGAGCAGCCATCCCACAAGAGAAGACACGCTGATCCCAGATGCTTACGGAACTCTGGCAGGTCATATGTCAGGCTATAAAACAGGGCTCACTAAATTTAAAAACAATGAACTCACTGGCACAGGGGTGTGCTCCTGGAGCCCCAGCTACTCGGGGGACTGAGGCAGGAGAACTGTTTCAGCACACAAGTTTGAGACCAGCTTGAGCAATGCAGCAAGAGCCCACCTCATAAATAAAATAATAAAATCATAAAAAGTGTCTTCTCTAACAGAATGAAATAAAACAAATGAGCATCAGAAGGATACATACTGGGAAGCTTAAGATCACAATCCCACCCAAAGTGGTCCACAGAGATAAGGCGACCATATCAAAATCCTGATCCCCCCCTTTTTTCCCCCCAGAAATGGAAGCAAATCTTAGAATTCATTGCAAAGAAACCTGGATAGGAAAATCAGTCTTAAAAAAGAACAAAGCAGGAAGACTCACATTACCTTATAAAACCTACCAGAAAGCAACAGTCACCGAGAGAGTAAGGAACTAGCAAGGACACACCTGAGGACAATGGGAGAACTGCGAGCACACAGGCTCTGACGACCTGAGGCCAAGTAATACTTGACAAGGCCCCAAGACCATTTGTTGGGGGGAAGACCAGCCTCTTTTACAAAGGTGCACAACTGGGGACACACATGCTAAAGAATGAAGCTGAC